AAAAAAGACGATAAGTCTATTTTTATTAGTTTTCTGATTTCGAAGTTACTTGATGTATAAAAAGAGAGTAAATGGCTTGTATTTTGATATGAAACAGTCGAAATGGAGACAAATCTATGAATTTTTGTGAGAACGACATGTATAACCGGCATGAATATTGTACATTATTATTGTAAACCTAACTCTATAACGTTTAGTATCTTTGAAAAATTCAAGATACTGGCAAAAAAGCTACTTAACTTAAACCTAAAACCAAATAAAGAGACAATCGTTGGATTAGTTAACAGCGTAACAAAGTTCAAAAATTTATATGCCTATAAAAAGTGGAAATATGGTTTATTATGTTTTTTCCCTGTAGTCTTGAATTTTGAACGAGGGTGTACGAACGTAAGTATATAGACACAGACGCGTAGAAACGGGTGGAGGATGGCACGACTGGATATATACAGAATACAGAGAGATGCAACAGCCTGGGAGAGAGGTGGGGCGGTGGTCAGTGGCGCCACGCAATTGTCAATTAACATTTTTACCGCCGTGCAAGAAAACACGAAGTTACGTGCCGGCGTACGTGGCCACCACACACGGCACACGGTGAGCTCGACAGGGTTCCAGAGATCACGGAGCCCGAAGAGAAACGGAGAAAGCAAAGACTCCACGAGGAACAAGACCGTATTCCATTCGATGGACTAACTTACAACGAAGAAAGAGGATTATGTCTGGCTGGAGGAGAAGAGTCCGAGAGAAAGAGGAGCAGCGAGGGTAGAAGGGGAAAAAAGAAAGAATCGTAAGGATACATTTCATTACGATTATGCGCGCAATGGATTGCTAATCGTAAGCGCCTCCAGACCGCGCCCCTACAGCAAACCCAGCACCGGACGCTATCACTTGCATAGAAACCTGTGAGGCTCGTTTTTCACACGTGGGAACGGAGAACTTTTCCACGCAAAATGCTCGAGGAAGGATTCGAGAGACTCTATTAGTATTATTAGCATGCACTATATGATTCATTTTCTTTTTATTGCTTGATCTGTTCGTCCGAGGAATTTATTGTATATCTCCTTTTACATTTATGGACTTTTGTCGCTGATTTTATCAATGAATCTTGTTACCTTCCGTCTATGGTTAGCTTTCCGTGGCAAGAATTCAGCTATCGATACATACTGCTGGAAAATGAGTCGGTATTTCCAGATTACTCGCTCTTTATTACATTCAACGACGCTCTTATAGAGCTCGTAATATTACGTTGCGAGAAGCTGCGATAGCTTCGAATATTACATTTAATAAGCTGGTATCGGTTTCGCTCTCTATTACACGGAATATTACACGATGAAATTTTTTGACGGCCCGCCTTTTTTTTCTTTAACTTTCTTTCGAACGGTATGACCAACGGACGACGCACGACTTTGAATAAGATTTATCGGTTTGCGTAATCGAGGTCATCTTGCACAATAATTTATCAATTAATGATATTAATGAACTGACAAATTACAAGTTGTAGATCGTTGAACTTCTTAATCCCACTCAAGTATCTTACGAAACGAATAAGAGAAAGAGAGAACGAAGAAAAAAGAAATCGAAGAAAGAATGACAAGAAATTACCTACGACGCAGCAAATAAATGTCTGAATAAAATATTTATTTATAAAAAAGAACACAATCAAGACCAATTATAGCATCCTCATTTTCTCAATACATGTAATACTATTCAAACATTCTGTCAACCAAATACAAAAAAAGAAGATAATGAAGAGCCGATGAAGTATTTAAAACACGGCAAATAAATGCCTTTATAAAACAATTTATGTACTCGCAAGAAGCGAGTGCCAGCATACCTAATCTTTCAAAAAGATAATTTATATGAAACATAACAAGATCTTTAAAAAGAAAGGCGAAACAAAGGGCGTGTTGGGTTGCTGTTGCCGTCGGTGGCACCATCGAACCGTATCGGCGTTCGTTGCCCCGCGTGTTACACGATATGCCCGTGCAGAGAAGGGTGTGCGGCGTTTTACGAGATGCAAATATCGGGCAGTCGGACAGCCAGTCAACCGCACCATCAACTCGGCTACCGGTGAACTGTGCCGAGCGTGTCCCTCTTCATCTGTGACTTTGTAGAATGCGTCTGGGACACCCGTGGCGAACAGCCCCGCAAACCGCAGAGTTCCAAGTTACCTACTGCCTACGAGACGACCTGTCGATCCACAATTCGGATCGTTGGACAAAATATCGCCAACTACATGGTATATAAAGCGATGATTTTGGCTAACCGAGATATCTGGATACCCTGATACCCACGAAATATTCGATTAAAAGAAGCTTACTCGCACTATTATTCATAAGATATCCGAAGATATAAGATTGTAACGTGCAGCGTTTATATAGTAATCTTCAAAGCTAACAGTAAAACAGAGCGAGACAGCTCAGGAACAGGAAAGACACTCCGTAATTTAATTTAAAGATTTTGGGTATCTGAGGAACCTAATTGCTCTGGTATCCATAAAACACTTGAATAAACGAAAAATGCTTGGCTTTATTTTAAGAGGCGTGCTTATGAAAGTGATGACAACTTCCATTACCTCAGATTATTGTAACTTTCCGATCCCAAGTGGACTTGGAAGATAATTTATTAACGGAAAGATATGTGTGCGACAAATTTGTAGATATGATCATATTGTATTAAGGGAAAACCGGTAGTTTTATTAGATTATAAGTCAATTAGATTTGAATTTCCTTCGCTAGCCTTTCTTTCAGTCACGAATAGCGATTGCTAACATATTGTACGTATTACGATCAAGCGTTTCACTGCTTCGTTTGTGACAATGCCGTTGTGACAATCGGTGATCTCAACGCCGCAAACCTGCACAGGCGAGATCCATCTCACGAGCGAACGGAACGCCGCGGCCGCTATGGCCACCGCGCCCAGTAGCCTCCGTGAAACAGAAACGTAAACGGACAGGAGAGAAGAGGAGGGTTTCGAGGGACGCTACTTTTTCGCCTGGGAAACCGGTACTTCGAATTGCGAGCACGTAAATAATTAATGCGAATTGTAAGCGTGAGCAAGGCGCGCGACACGCAAGAACTTGATTACCGGCCAGGCGAATGCGGACCAGATTTTTGTTAACCTCGCGAGAATAACGAAATGGGTGTGTTCGAATACGATGGATCGTTAAACGAGCCTATGATAAGAGCTAAATGATTTTAATTATAAGTTGTTGAACTTAATGAAGTTTCTAACGATATGTCACATCTTCAAAAGGTATTTCGAGCTTGTATTTTATATCAATTTCGACCTATCTATACCTCAAACTATATACAATATAAAGGAAGTTATTTATATCTCTGACTGAAAATACCAAAGTAAACAGGTATAATTAAAGAAAGAAGATATTTACGGTTTCTTGCATGAATATTTTTTTAACACGGGCGAGTCAACAACTTTATAACTATATCGTTTAACACCTTATCATTTACGGCCAATTTTACTCGAACATGTTTCGAGCACCTATTTTAATGAGGCAACTTTTTCACTTTTCATTTCAATGTTTCGTGTCTCGTTTTAAAGCCACGCTTACCACGTATACGCTATGAGAAATTTCTCATACGTTGCCACTAACGCGCACCTTAAGGTATACCATTATCAGTTTTCGATGTTACAACCCGACAATTACACATACCAATGGAATTACCGTCTAATATGCAATTCCATGAATTCAAGAGCACGGCACGACTTCATACGGTGCTCATTTAATATTAACTGCCATAAAACAGGCTACTTTTCTTCTGTCAGCATTTTATGCATAACTAGCCAATAGTTAATGTTACTTAGGGATCCAGAACGCTTCTGCTTTTCTCATTTTTCAAGACGACTAATAAAGGCAGAAGAAAACGACGAGAATCTCTAAACAAGACCACAAATAAAAGCGAGAACACGGTCAAAGACCTCTTAATGCTGCTAAATATGTGCACCGTTCAAGACAGTTAGATGATCACCTAGTCAAATAATTTTATGATTGAGGAAGCTCTTCTACGTGTATTGTTAGGACGTTTCCTAATTTTGTAAATTTTGTAAATTTTCTTGGAATAAAAAAGTCCAAATCGATAGTAATCTAAAGTACAACACTTGGCCTTATTCTTTAAATATTTAATTTTTTAAGAAAATAACACAAGAATGGAATATTCAAAATGTACAAAATTAAAAGATTTAAAAAACATTTAATAATATTTCTCAAAACATAAATATTAAATTTTAATCTACGCCGTAACTCCCCTAAATTAATAGCGACTTATCGACAGCATTGGAACTTGGAATCTCTACGGTGCAATTAATAATGGACCGTATGGTGATCAAAGTTATACACAGTAAGCCCTTTGCTGAGCGGGAACTCTTCGTTATAGCTCTTCTGGGAGCCATTAAAACTATGTTCACGTAACAAACGACGGTACACGGGTTAATATCACAGCCTAACGAGAACACATGATGTACATATATTTTCTTACATGAATTCAAACACGTAATATCGCGTAAATTTCATGGAATAAAAACAACGAAAAAGAATGAAATGGTTCAAATATAAATCCTTTCTTTCGAAACGTACAATAGTCGGTTAAACGAGCCAACATTTCACGGAAATATGCTGAACAAACACAGCAAACCCGCAGTTAACTCTCCACCGTGTATTTATAGAAGAAAACATAACAGTTACCAAGTATGCAAAAACGTACTTCGGTGAAAACACGACAAAAAGTTACAAGTTGTTTCTTCGAATCATATTAGCTTACCGGTTATGCGTTTAAACAGAAATGAAACAGCGATAATTTCTCTTTTCTGTTTTAAATATATTTATATCCCCATTCGTCTATTCAAAAGTTTATCGTACGAAGTATTATCTCGTATATGATCAACGAGATGCATTTCGCGTCTTTTACTTTTGAAGATACATATAGCTTTTTAAATTATTTTAAAAATGATAAATATTACGAATTATAAACAATAAAATCACTCACCCTATCTTATTGATCAGCTTTCCATGAACGTGAAGGTAGGATGTGACGAACCGTTTATTTACCTAAAACATGTAAGATTCACAATTTATATTAAAATACGATTTAATGGCATGATTTATTTAGAGATATATATCTAAAAATGTATTTAAAAATATGCTGCTGAAACTATACTATATTGTGTTCTATGATATAGATATTGTGTTCTACGATTAAAAAGAGAAGTAAGTTTGTTTATGCCATTTTACCTCAACGCTGCTTAATTGTGCCAATTCTTCTAAATCGCTATGAGATAATCTCGCTTCGTTGGCAGTGGCTGCAGTAGTTGTACGATGAACTCGTCTTCCACCAGGATGAATCCAAATTTCTCTTCTTAGTCCTCCACCAATATTGTTCGCTCCCTCTTTCTCTTTCATCCTGGCTCGTTCTTTCCACTCTCTCTCCTCTTTCCGTTTCCGTTCCGTCGATTCATACTATTAGAATACATTACAATTAAATCCTATACGTAGCTTGTTATAAAATTAAGGACAGCATAGGGCATAGCGTAAATGAGAGTTCATTGTCTTTATAGGAATCCTATCAATTATCCTATTACACCTAAATTCTCTCAAATACTAATGAAAGATACAAGCATCATATGTGTAAAGCGTAAAAGGCTCTTTAAATGTTTGTATCTTTCGATTGCACCTATTTAAAAAATATGCATGCTAGTATCATGTGCGAAATAGTGCTAGTAACTAACAGAAATGGTGCTCTTATTTATAAAAAATAATTCAGCAAAATGCAGCAGACTATACTCAAAAAATGTTCAAACTATATGTTTCTATTCTCCGTAAATACTACCGTCTCAAATCACTAATTACGCTATCAGTTATATTTAAGCATAGAATGATTTGCTTTCAAGTAATTATGATTGTGCGAAAAATATTGACTTTTATACACTGGACTATTAATAGTCGAAAGCGTGCGAGGAGGCATATGATGCGCAAAGAAAATTTATAAGAAAAATCCAATGCAAATAAAACAAAGGTATATTAAACGGTTCGAAAATAAAGAGGACTACTTCAAGCTTTAGTTAAGATAACCGGTACTTAGAGATATCACACCAAGTATCGAAATTTACTTACATAATGTAGATACTGGCAGCAAAACAAAATCAAAATATTATTAACGTTAGTATTAATACAAACATATAAGAAAGTACTTAAATTTTTGTCTTACCTTCTTCCTGTTTTCATCAAAAAGTGCTATTAAACTCTCCCTTGCAGAATGGAAAGGATTAGATGCCATAAGAGATCGCATATAATAATACACCGCATCCAACTTTCGCCTCTAGAATCAAAATTCATATTTAATTTGTTTAATTTTATTTATTTCCTTTTTCATTCATCGTACACAAAGTGAAAATACGTACAGCATAATGTGCTAGTAATGCAAGCTGGTTGTAAGGTCTTCCATTCTTTGGATTAAGTTGTTGCGCTTTCAAATACCACCTAAAAAAGAATAAAATTTTGCATAAAATAATGTCATCTTTATAGGACGTAATAATAATGTGTCTATTTCCTACTTACTGCCGAGACTTTCCATAATTATTTGTTTCATTTGCCTGTTCTCTATATCTCGCCAAATCACCCAAAAATAGATATATTTTTTGCGCACTTACTAAGGCTAAACCTAAGATCCCAAGACCCTTAGGCAAAGTCGACGATGCAAGAAATGTATCCAATTTAAATTCGTATTTCGTTTCAAGAACAGTCAACAAACTCTCTAAATATACGGTACCATCGTCAATAATTTTTAACATAATTTTTTTATAATGTTCTCGACCTTCAGAACTTTCTTTAGGCATGCCTTTTCGCAGCATTTCGATCATATTATAAAAAAGTATTTTCCAAAAATGTTGTTCAACGTTCTCAGCTTGACAAAATTTGATATCAGTCTCGAGCAAAGTTTTTAAACTTTCTTGTAGAAAGTGTCGTATGTACAAAACCCTCTCCCAATTTGATGTAAAACCACCAGAACTTAGTATCCACTGCAATTCTAAATCTGCACGTTCTATATCCAAGAGTAAGTAAGGATTTTTAGCTACTCGAAAACTGTCAAATGAAGAATTATAAATTATTATTAGGATAATTATACTTATTTTTATTCATGATTTGCAATATATTTATTGATTTTACATACCTATCGGAGTAAGGATCATACCATGAAGGTCTTATATTTCCAAATTGGTCATTTGTCATGTATGGTGGTGGCACGCCATCCAAATGCGTTCCCTGGAAGTTATGATGAGTAGAGCTAATACCCCCATGAGATTGAAACACTGGTATACTTGAACCTTGAGATGTAGTTTCACTTTCTCTGAATGTAAAACATTCAATAAATCGATTAACTCTATTGTAAAGAAATTAATTAACTTAATAAAGAATTAAGAAGTACAGAAATCTTTTTTTATATATTTATACCTTTGTACTGCTGCTCTACTACTAGGAGAGATAATAACAATTGGTTTATTAGGATTATTGGGATCAAATAACGTTCTTTGTTGTTGCACTCCTTGTTGCCTCGAAGTTTGATGATTAGGTGGAGATTGGCTAGTATCAGGTAACACTAAAACACCCGGTGGTTGAGAACTGGTATATCCAGTAGGTGATGTTTGATGTGCTGTCATAGTATTTGCTAACGGGACAGAATGAGAAGAAACACTAGGTGTTTGTCGACCATCGTCAGAATCACAAACTGACATTTTTCTACCTGTTCTCCAATTTTCATCTAGATATCGATCGGACGCTCTGAAAGTCATGTATCAATAAAATAATGATTTTAATTCCTAACTTAGACAACACCAAATATATGCTTTTTAAAACAATTTATATGAGGCTGGTCCAGAAGGTAATACCTGTTTATATATGAAAGCTATAAAAAACAATGGAATGTGCTTATAGAAGGATTTATTCATATGCTGGCATATGAAATTTCCATATGAAATTTCATGTTTAAATAACTAGTACTGTCTTTGTTTCATACGTTTAAAATGGCGATGCGAATTGAAAATCGCGCCAATGATGGACTGTCATACCTTTACACCTTTCGAATGCTGAAAACGTTCGTCCAAAAGAAATGTACCGCCAAATTACAATAGTTTCTGATTTTAAAAAAAAGACAAGCAAAATTGAAAGAGTTTTTGGGTGAGTAAAAGTTTTTGGGTGCCTTGTAGGAAACACTGATTTAAAGAATGTGAAACACTAGTTATCTGAACTCGTGGCGGAAGTGTGTGATGGAGAGGCGGTGGTTGTATTGAAAAATAGCTAAGTATTATATAATACTAAAGTTATAAATGAAGAAAACATTTAAAAATGCATTTATATTGTTGTAATTTTAAAACGGATATTACTTTCTGGACGTTCCTCGCATATACATACCTATGTCGATGAAGGTCATCAAAGTTCCGATTACCACCACGATAACTTCTATCTTTGCTAGATTCTCGACTACGTTGTATAATATTACGGTGTCTTTTGTGGTCATATCTCCTGCTACTGTTATTGTTTTTTTGATTATTGTTATAGTTATCATTTTCTCTATTTTGTTGATTATTTTGCCGATCACGACTATTAACACGAGCTTTATCTCTGCTATTACTCCTTAAAAAATATAAGAAAATAAATTTACTATAAAATAAATTCCTATTCTTAATATGTAAATTGTAAAGTATATAAATAATAGCTATAAATTTTGGCAATTCTTACCTCCCTCGATCTGCCGCATGTTTCTTCTTTTTTTTTTTACGTCGACTATGACTACTTGTTGTAGTTTCATTTCCTGACACATTAACATTTTCACGTAAACTCAATACAGATGAACTACGACTTGCACGCTCAGCTTCTAGCTTCTCACTTAATTCAACGTCTTCACTCCAATCCTATGTATAATATATGTATCCAAATACGATTATATGTTTCTGCACAATGATAAATGTATTTAAAATGAAATACTTACAAATGGATGTTCAGCAGATATATTTAATGCAGTGTTGATAGATTCACCTTTTGATGAACTGACACCTGAATTTTGTTGACCATTCTTTTTTTCTTGTATTGTATTACGCTCAGATGTATTGCTACACCGTTGCCTTAAAGAAATCAAAACATAATTAATAAAGATATTAGAAAGATAAATATTTATTTATAAATAATCATTACGTTTGAGTGCGGTGAAAAGCTGGAGACGGAGATATTCCTCGACGATGACTCTCTGGCGATATTTGACGTTTGTTCACACTGGACATTGAAGTAACGGGTGATGCTGATGATGGCGGTGGTATTGTTGAACTATCTACTCGACTTAAACTTTCCATACTAGTATACATAGTACTATTACTGCCACGACGATCGTAAGATCTACTTTTAAAAGATACGAAAATTATATTAAATTGCTATCGTCCATACAATAAAATACAATGTTAAGAATATCACAAAATATAATACACATTTATAAATTATGTTTCTGCAGAAATATACCTTTGCATAAATTCTTGGCTTGGTGTATGAGATCTGGAACTTGGAGCTGAATACTGATCAGGTGTAACACACCTAAAAACGTTTGTTGAACTTTCTAAATCTTCTGGTCTAAGTCTACCTCTACCTCTAGCTCGTGGTGGTGCTGTATTAGACCAGCTAGTTTGTGGAGGTAATGGACCAGATGGAGGTAAACTTTGCATCGTTTGTGAATGTTGCATTGCAGGTGGAAAATTATAGTTTGATGGTGCCTTTAAAAAGATAATTTATATTTAACAAAAAATTTAACACGGTTTAATCAAATTTTATAAGATAATATTAATTTTACCTGAAATGAAGCACTATTGCTATTCCATGTATCTTCAGATGGTGAGGAACTTGGTGGTAAGGGCAAACCATTATCCAAAAGGTATTTTTTCTGGAATCTAGGTGGTAAGTGTTCTATTTTTATATTTTTTGGCAAACTATCTTTAGTGCCACCCCATTTGCCTGATGGTGGTTTGCCTTGAAACTTTTCTGGATGTCCAGCAGGTTCTACGCTACGTGTATCTCTAGTACGATTGAAATCATTTAAGTGATTCGTTGTTGCAAAAAGAGGTTCTGAACACTAAACAAATAAATATTGTAAATTAGTTTTATAAAGGAATTTTTTGGACAATGTAAAATATCAACTTATTATTTCAGACCTGTCTAACTTCACGAGAACTATCTTTCCTATTTCCATAACCTCTGCTAGATAAAGGAGAATCAGATCGCCAACGCTCTTCATTTTCATTACCATGCCGAGTTCTTCGATTACCTGAATATCTTTTATCATGCTCATCTCGGTTTTTACTTCCACTTTCGCTATTTCTTCTACCATGACCACTTAACCGATTACGTTGACTATCACTTTTATGACTACGATTGGAATGAGAATCACGATCTTCACTATGCTCTCTCTCTTGATCCTGATCCCAACCTCCTTGATTGGGAGATCTAAGAGATAAGAATTATATTTTTATTCAACCCATTAATAATAAAACAAAATTATTTTCTATGGAATTCACCTATTTGTTACATCTTGTTCAGCCAATGCTTCTTTTACTTTTTTAGGTACATATAATAGCTGTTCTGGTTTCTTAGCTTTCCTTCTTGAATCTCCAGAATTACTATTTTGAGAAGAACCTTGTGCCTGTTCAATGCTTGTAATGCTTCTGTAATTAATATTTAGATCATTCAATTTTTCTGTTACATTTTCAACTTTAGATGATGGTGGATTATTTTGATTTTGGTTGGATTTATTGAGTTGTGACTGTTTTAAACGATGTTGGACGGAGCTGGATTTAGGTTTTTCCCGTGAAATATTTTCATTATCTAAATCATCTGTAGATCTTCCTGATTTTCGAAGAGGTCCACTTCCTGGCCTATATAAAGCTTGAGGTGCTCTATTTCCTCCACCTTTCATTCCTATTGACCTATCCTCTTCTAATTTTGAATTATCTGGAAATATAAAATTTCACATCTTCTAAGTAAAGTATGTATATCTTAATTATCTAATATATTATATTTATCTTTACATTATAATTTAGTTTAATTTGAAGTAGATACAAAATTAAAAATAATATGTTGAATAAATTAAATATAAATGAAATTGTGTTTGGAGTTATTAACTATTTATTAATATGTATAGCATTATAATAAATGAAATTTAATAAATGATAATATGTTCATAATCAATGTTTAAACACTATCGCTGTTTAAGCTGAAAGATTAAACTTAAAGATATATCTAAAGAAAAAACATACTAAAATTGCTAGATCTTACACGATAGCAATGTATACTGAATATTATGAAAAAAAAAAATAATTCATATCACAAATTGAATAAGGAATAAATTACAATATTCCTGTTTATGAAAGCATTAATATTCCATATATAAGTTATATATTTCAGTCATAAATGATTGCTCTAAAATTTAATAAATTACGGTTGGAAGTATATGTATAATGTATCTATAACTGTAATAGTCTTTTACAATATTTTTAGCATATTAGATGACAGAAGTTCGTTCATATACGATAATTAAATATTGCTATTAGTTAAATATAACACTTTGCTAAGTGCAATAACTAATAGCGATTGTTGACACTCTTGACAGTAACTGAAGTTATCAATTTACGAGAATTAGGAATAAAAGTTATATAATCCTTAACTGCTCAAGATAAATTTGCAATTTCTAGAAAAGTCTAATACAAATTATAATATATGCTAGATTTACTTCTTACACTGGTTAAATTTCACAACATATCACAGCATAATTCCCGCTGTATTTTTAGGTTAGCTTGTTTGGTGAGGTTAGCTCTGTAAATGCTCCCAATAGAATTGAAAAGGGGCATGTGTGTTTATTACGTACACACAAAATATAATCATGGGATTACAAATTAAGATATTTATATTATTCAGCGAAATAATTTTTTTCAAGGTACCTTGTAAAAATTCTCCCCACTTTTTGCGTCCTTTGTCGCGGTTCGCCATATTGAAGTACAATCACATCCAAATTTTTTAAAATCAGAATTTACTTCCAATCATGTATTCGGTTGATACAAAAGCTCTAGAATTAATTACTAATTAATTTTAATAAACAGTAAAAAATGTTAGCAGAAATAGATTTTACATACTACTTAATAAATTAATAAACTATTTTATTGTTTATTTAAATATTTTATTATTACTAAAAATAATTGTGAACAAATATATTATTTAATTGTAAAATATGATTTTACTTAAAAAAATGCAATAGTACAGTTTATATATTGCACATTAAAGTAATTTTTACAACTGTTTATTCAAACAGAATAAAACGATCTTCTTAAAATTTATCACACTCGACTAAAACATTTTCTATGATATTTGATAAGAACATAATAATAAAATAAATTAATATATTGCTTATAATAGTAACGTAATACCCATCCAATAACACTATAAATAATCATAAAAGATAAATCATATTTAACGATATATATACAAATATACATATTGTACGTATATGCATATATTTCAGTATTATACATATAAAACAATTTATTTCACATTCATAAAAAGTTAACTATAGATAACAGTAACAAAATTTCATTTTGGTATTAAATACATAAAATCAATTTTATAAAATTAAGATTAAACAAATACTCGGGATTATAGATTTTAGCGTCATATTTAGTTATATATCTATTGTATTCTACAAAAATATTCTTATTGCATATATTTTAAGGATTACTTGGTATTTACATTATATTTGTTGCCAATTATTATATGAACATAAAAGAGACTTCTGTAAAACGTAAAATATTGAGTTTTTCTTAGTAAAAAGCAATGATATAATAATATATAACCTTAATATATTTAACTGTATTTCAGTTTAGGGGACATAAAATTATTGTCTCTTTTTTGTATATATTATAACAGTTTTTGACGCATAGAATCCGAAAATGCATTAGGAATCTAGCGATTCGAAAATTATGCATATGTAAAGTTTAGCGTTTTTAGCACAGAAGTTTAGCGTATTTTACACGTTACTTTGACACCATATTGGCTTCTATCCATGATTCGTCCAATGAGTGGAGTCGCCGACTGTAAACAAATGCACGTGGGTGGCGGGATTTTAAATTGTGAGTATTGGATTAGGTTTGGGCACATAGACTTTTATACATTTGGACAGGTTTGAGTTACGTTTTATTCTCCGGGCATCGCGCTATGAGGCGACCGATTACATTTGTATATACAAACCTATACAAACTGATATTCGGTGAAGTTCAATTCAATGCTCATCTGTACAGACCAATCACATGATGGATAGAAAAAATATGGTATCATACTAACCTGTACAATACGCTAAAAATGCTCGGTTTTATATACACATAATTCCTGAACCGCTAAATTTCTAGAGTTAAGGCTAGCATTTTTTAATTCTCCACGGCGAAAAATATTAGATAACAAAAACAAGTCAACAATTTTATATTCCCTAAACCGAAGTTAAACTATATATTTCTTTCAAATACTTATTCTTATCGGTCAAATGTTTACTCCGCTTGTTATTATTAATCGTAGATTAACAACCGCTGCAAGATGCAAACGGCGAGTTGTTGTTACAGGAATGGGTATAGTATGTCCTCTGGGAATTGGTGTACAAAATGCTTGGCAAGCACTTATTAATTCTAAATCAGGTATCACCAAATTGACTAATCCGGAATATGACAAGCTACCTTGCAAAGTTGGTAAGTGTTTTATATATCTTTATGTGTTCTAAATAAATTTGTATAAATATTTCAAATTTTTACATTCTATAATAAATTTCTAACATATAGGGTGATTCATAAATACATATCCATACTTCAGGGAATGAATCTATACATTGAAATAACTAAAAGACATCATATGAACACAAGTCTTATGTACTTTAGTTTTTGAGTTATGGATGATCAACAAAAATGTTCAAAGTCCGTCCTGTATCTCAATATATACATTGCAAGTCTTAATATTGTTGTATACACAATTGAAACGTATTTTGATCTGTGTAAAGTTTATAATTTTTCTTATTTCTACTTCTACAATACATGAATAATGAACTTGCAAGGACATAATATTGATTCTCTAAAATTCTATCTGATTCGAGACATGACAAGCTTCTGCAATATATACATTCAATGCTAAAGTAAGCAATTAAGTAGAAATACATGTTTATATCATGTTTCTTATTTATTTTAATGTGTACATTCAACATCTAAAGTATGCATTTGTGAATTATCCTATATATAATACAATAATATTTTGATAGCTGCGTTAGTACCTAAAGGAAATGGTCCTAATGAATTGGATATCGATTCATATTTTACAAAAAGTGAGTTACGTACAATGTGCCCAGCTACTCCTTATGCTTTGATAGCTACAGAAGAAGCATTGAATGATGCAAATTGGAAACCAAACAATGAAACTGATAAACGAGATACAGGAGTAGCAGTAGGAATTGGAATGATAGATTTAATTGATGTATGCACAACATATGAAGCCTTAAAAAAAGGATATAACAAAGTTAGTCCTTATTTTGTGCCAAGAATATTAACAAATATGGCTGCAGGACAAATTAGTATTAAATATGGTCTTCGTGGCCCGAATCATTCTGTGTCAACAGCATGTGCAACTGGAGCACATGCAATTGGTATTATAAGTTTGAACAAAGTCCAAAAATATTTTCTGTTTACTATGATTATGTAATATAACTAATTTCTAGGTGATGCATTTCGTTTTATTCGTGGGGGAGAAACAAGTGTAATGATATGTGGTGGGGCAGAAGCATGCATCAGTCCTCTTGCTATAGCTGCTTTTTGTAGACTTCGAGCATTGAGTACTAACAAAAATGATTTTCCGTATGAAGCATCAAGACCATTTGATAAAGATAGGGATGGATTTGTTATGGGAGAAGGTGCTGCGATACTAGTGTTGGAAGAATTAAATCATGCACTTGAAAGGAAAGCTAATATTTATGCGGAAGTGTTAGGGTATGGTTTATCTGGTGATGCAACACATTTGACTGCACCTAGTGAAGATGGTACAGGTGCTATATTAGCCATGGACAGAGCAGTCAAAGATGCTGGTATAGAAACTGTAGAAATAACTTTTATTAATGCACATGCAACTTCAACCCCTTTAGGTGATGGTATTGAACTGAAAGCTATAGAATCATTTATGGGACAACATAGTAAAAACGTAACTGTCTCTAGTACAAAAGGTGCACATGGTCATCTGTTAGGTGCAGCAGGAAACTTAGAAGCTGTTTTTACTATTCTGGCAATAAAAGAGAGTGTAATTCCACCAACATTAAATTTGCATAATTTGGATACAGAAACATCTTTAAATTTTGCTCCTAATATAAAGAAAAATTGGAATACAACCTCTAGACGCGTGGCATTAAAAAATGCTTTTGGTTTTGGTGGAACAAATGCATGCTTATGCTTTGCACAATATAATGAATAAGTTGATCATTAAACTAAAACTGGTTTGAAAAAAGCATAATACGCGACGTAATCTAAACTAGTCATTCCTCAATGTACATTAATTAATACATATATAGATGGTGGGGCATTTAGATAGAAACACTGAAATATTTCTGTTACTAGCAGTTGTCTGAAAAATCTCCAAAGCACAAAGTTATATTATTTAGAAAGGTACATACAATAGTAAATAAAATTTTTTCTGAAAATCATTTTTTTTTATGAGATTTTAAGGTTATCATCTTTTTTAATAGAAGCATATACTTTTTAATATATTAAATATATCAATTCATCTCTTCATTCTCTATAAAAATATATTATCCTATTTATGTCAAAAGCTATTACTTTAGTTTAGTTTTAGTTTTAACCTTAATTTTGTCAAATGTATAAAAGATAAAGATAATGTAAACACGAGAATACCACTTCGTTTCTTCCCTTGTCTTTCATATATTATAATTGACAAAATTAAAGTTAAAACTAGAACTAAACAATAGTTAGTTTATACATAAACATAAATACCTTTTACCTTTTTATAAGAAATACCGAGATGGATTGATTAATCTATTAAAATAGATGGTCCCAATTAAACAGACGATGATATTGAAATCTCATAAAAAAATGACTTCCAGGAAAAATTTTATCTACCATTACTAAGCAGTATAATTTTTAACTCTTGAATTTTTTCATATGACCATTAATAATGAAGATATTTCTGTGTTTCCATTTAAATGCTCCATACGGCATAGGTCGCATCTGAAAAACGATATATATGCATAATTTTACTTTTTTATAAGAAAATACATTTGAGATTGGAGTTTAAATATATTTAATACTTTTATCTAATGTATAATATGAAACTCTTGTAATATATTATCTGAGAAGAAAGCAAAATATTTTATATTATTATAGAAAATTGTACAAAAAAGACATAACTTGAAATAATATAATACATAATGGAATACAATATTTATTTTGTATTAATATTTAATATTTCTTGGCCATTTTATTATTACAACATTTACATTCATTTTGCAAGGAAACAAATCCAAAAAAATAAAATCCTCTTAAAAGTACATAGTAATTTATACAATTATTTACTACGTGCAATTGATCATTATTCGCCATATTTTATGACCAATACATGTTCACAAAAATTATCATTTAATATTTAATCATACATACAAGCATGTAGAAATCAGTCTCATAATTCTGATCACTGACAAATATTTGTGCATTAATGCGACAATTCATATGTATTTCTTTTAATCCAGTTTTCAGAATTAATATTTGACTATAAACTTTGCTTTCATTCATTTACAATTACATTTTTGATCTACAAATGTCTTTTAGTTTTATAAATTCAGCTACATAGAAAACAACAGAATTCAAGGCATAATTGTTTCTTGGTACCTCTAGTTTATTAGATGCAATTCTTTGCTTACAGATAAACCATACCATACGATGTTCGTACGATGTATATCTTCAACAATATCTTATTCACATAGGAAGTTTGACATCCAATGATAACAGTTATATGAAATAC